CGGCCGATTCGACGGCGAGTGTCACTATTGCCACAAGAGCGGACACATGTGGCGCGACTGCTACAAACTCCCTGATGGTTGGACCCCTGCTCAAGGCCAAGAGGGTAGAGGAGCAGGAGGAGGGAGAGGACGAGGCCGTGGAGGCCGTGGCGGTCGCGGTGGCGGAGCTGCAAACATGAAGAGCGGAGACAACGACAAGGACCCGAGCGACGATCGATACCCGGGTCTATTCTACTTCGTGTCGACGCAAGTACCGGCTGGTCCAGAGAAGGATGAAGGCTTTGAGGAGCCAGCAGCTGTGGGGAAGGTGACCCTACACCCCCTGGACTATTGGGTGATTGATAGTGGCGCTACCTATAGCATGACACCTCGCCCGGACTTGCTCACCGAACTCGAGCCGTCACCGGTGAAGCATGTCACATCGGCTTTGGGGCAGCGAGCAGAGGTGAAAGGCATGGGCAAGGCCATGTTCAAGGGTGCTGATGGGAAGATGGTGGGCCTCAAGAACGTGCTTTGGGTGCCCAGCCTTGCTGCAAACCTGATTTCCGTGCGGCGGTTGGCAAAGGCCGGCATGGACACGAACTCGAAGGGAGCCAAGACCTACACCGCAAGGCTTGGCGATCGAATTCTTTGGGACCTTCATGAGGACAGGGATGTCTACAACGAGATGTGGCAGATCCCAGTGGTCCCTATGCCTAAGGAGAGGCAAGTGGCAGCAAGCATCAGCACCAAGGATGGAGCGGTCGGTAGCGACGATGGCGCGAACGGTCGCGCTAAGGAGAATGAGCTCAAGAAGAGCAAACCTGGAGGGACCAGCAAGTTCAGTGAACCTAAGGAGAGTGGTGCAGCAACCAAGGAGCAGCAAAAGGGTGAGGAGAACCCAGAGGCAGCAGCGGAGGAGGACTACGGAGAGAGTATGTGGGGCGCTATTGCGAGCGCGGCATTCTCCAATCCAACTTCGGCTACGGGGGAGTGTGATTGGCTCACCTTGCATCGGCGCATGGGGCATGTGGCCCTGCCCATCTTGCAGCAGCTAGTGAAGAATGAGATGGTTGCTGGCATACGTGTGAAGGGGGAGCCCGATGAGGTGCTTGGCTGCCCGACGTGCATTCAAGCCAAGTTCACCCGGTTTCCGTTCCCTAGTTCGGAGGCAACGGCAAAGGCACCGCTTGATGAGGTGGTGATGGACGTGGTGGGCCCCCTGAAGCTTGGAGCTGCTGGAGCTGAGTATTTTCTCACCATTGTCGACGTCTACACCCGCATGACTTGGGTGTATGTGCTGGCCAAGAAGAGCGACGTGGCTGAAACGTTGAAGACGGATTGGTTCCCGATGGTGGAGCGGCAACAAGACCGTCTAGTCAAGTCAATCCGCACCGATCGAGGGGGAGAGTTCCTGAGCAAGGAGTTTGGGTTGTGGCTGAAGAAGAATGGTATTCGGCACTCCCTCACCATGCCATACTCCCCTGCAATGAACGGCATCGCCGAGCGAGCGAACCGCACAATCACGGAGGCGGCACGCGGGTTGCTCATTGAAGCCGGGCTACCCGACTATTTCTGGCCTGATGCGGTGCGGAGCGCGTGTGTGGCCAAGAACAGAGCCTTGACTCATGTGGGAGCAGACAAATGGGTGCCCTATGTGGAGTGGCTAGGAAGGAAGCCAAAGGTGGATATGCTTCGGGTGTTCGGGTGCATGTGCATGGCGCTCGTGCCTAAGCATCTTCGGCACAACAAGCTTGGTGCCAAGGCGGTGTGGGCCGTGCACTTGGGCATGGCTCAAAACAGCAAGGGATGGCTTCTTTGGGACCCATTCACCAAGAAGTTCTTGGTGAGCAGGGACTGCAAGTTCATGGAGAACTTCATGTACAAGGATTGGAAGGCGGAGAATGAGGCGAAGATAGGCGTGCGGTTTGGGGAGGTGAAGAGTTCCGGTTTGGAGCATGTGGAGCTGCCTTTGGAGCTGAGTAGCGGCAGCACAACCACAAGGCAATCCTCCCTTGTGAATGGGGGAGAGGAGGCCAATGATGCAGAGGAAGAAGAGGAGGAGGTGCAGCAAGTGAGCGAGCGTGCACCGTCACTCCCTTCCCGTACTACGAGTGCTCCACGGATTCGAGCCACACCGCAGCAACGCCAAGGCCTTCAAGTCCCTGCAGCTGAGGAGGAAGGAAGGGGGAAGAGGAGAGTTCAACCCCCTAATAGGCTGACCTATGATGCGCCGGGAAAGCAGGGCAAGACAGCCCTGGCCGGAGCGGCAATGATGGTCGGAGACGACGAGGAGAGTGACTACGAGGAGTGTGCCTTCGCGTTCTTCTCTCCGGTGGAGATGCCGGGAGAACCAGCAACTCTCAAGGAGGCTTTGGAGAGTAGTGATGCTGAGGAGTGGAAGAAGGCCATGGAGAGTGAGCTGAAGAGCATCGAGGAGAATGACACGTTTGAATTGGTGGAGCTACCGGAGGGGCGTACGGCGATAACGTCCAAGTGGCTCTTCAAAATCAAGTCGGATGCCGACGGCAAGATCGAGCGCTACAAGTCTAGGCTTGTAGCCAAGGGGTACCAGCAGAAGGAGAAGGTGGACTTCAAGGAGCTGTTTGCCCCTGTGGTGAAGCCGACGACGCTGCGAACCCTATTCGCGGGAGCCGCCATCAAAGGATGGGTAGTAAAGCAAATGGACATCGTAACGGCATTCCTTAACGGCATCCTTGAGGAGGAGATTTTTATGGCGCAGCCAGAGGGGTTTGATGATGGTAGTGGCAGAGTGTGGAAGCTGAAGAAGGCCCTCTATGGGCTGAAGCAGGCCCCTAGGCAATGGTACATGAAGTTGCGCGAAGTGTTGGAGGGGATCGGCTTCACTCCCTCAACGGCCGATCACTCCTTGTTCATGTTTGGCGAGGGGGAGCAGAGGAGTTTCATGGTGGTTTATGTGGATGACATCCTCATTTTCTCACCCTCTTCTGACCTTGTGAAGGAGGTGATGCTGAAGCTTCAAGACAAGTTCAAGTGCAAGGCCCTTGGTGACGTGAGCTTCTACCTTGGGCTCCACATCGAACGAGATGTGGAGAAGCGGTGCATGCGGGTGCATCAACGAAAGTACCTGGAGGCATTGGCTGCCAACTTTGGGCAGAGTGAAGGCCATGTGGCTACACCCTTTCCCTCTGGGTTCAAGTGTGTGAAGGGACCAGAGGAGGAGAGCGTTGGTGAAGAGGAGAGGCGCCGATTTCACTCGTTGGTGGGCAGCCTCATGTATGCGGCGGTAAACACCCGACCGGACGTCGCGTTTGCTACCGGGCAGCTGGCTAGGGTTGTGCAATGCACTAATGAGGAGCAGGTAGTAGCTGGAATGAGGGTGGCCAAGTATCTTGGCCAAACACCGACCGTTGGGCTGCAATACTCGGCGGCGGCACAAAGGCGCCAAAAGGGCGCGGATGGTGTTGAACCCGGGCGTTTGTTCCTCACCGCCTACTCGGATGCTTCATATGCATCAGAACCAGAGGACATGACAAGTGTGGGAGGCTTCATATGCTGTGTTGGTGGAGGCCCAACTGCTTGGGAGAGCAAGAAGCAGGTTGACCAAGCTTTGAGCTCGGTGGAGTCCGAGTACATGGCACTCTTCCGTGCCGTACGGGAGATTGTGTGGCAGCGGCGTTTGTTGGCTGAATTGGGGGAGGAGCAGCAAGGACCTACCCCACTGTACTGTGACAGCCAGGGTGCCATTGCTCTTGCTAAGAACCCTGTGTTGCATGGACTCACGAAGCACATGAGGGTGAAGTGGCATTGGACGAGGAGCATGGTAACCGCGGGTGAAGTTGAGTTGCGCTACGTGAAGACCACGGGGCAGCCGGCTGACATGATGACCAAGAGGCTGGTGGAGCAGCAGCATTGGAAGTGTTGCAAGCTGGCTGGGATGGCTCTGAACTGAGAGAGCAACATATCCTAAGGCCAACAATCCGAGGGGGAGTTTGTTGGTGCAACCCTACGGTTTGCACTCGGCTTGTTGTCCGTGTGCGTGAATGTGTGTGTGTATGGAATGATATAAGGGCATGGGATAATATATATTTCATGCTTATAATTGTGTGTGAATGTTGAGTCATGATGTCGAGTGTGTGTGTGGAGTCAATAGCGAGTTATCGCTAGACGCGTGTTACGCGGTCGTTTGTGTCTCGCGCGCGGTTTCTATTTTGTCGTGCGCGGTTTCTATTTTGTCCTGTGTCGAACGTTCGGCGTGTCGCAGGTGTGTGCAGCAGACCCATCAAGAACTCAAGGATGAGTTTGTGATGAAGAGCTCGAGCCTTGGTGTCAAGCCTCAAGTGATTTCGAAGCTTGCCAAAAAGGGTACACCTCAAGATATTGAAGATAGTTACATTACTTTGTGTAGTGTAACATTTCACTTGGTGTAGGCCCCAGTGAAGGGTAGTTTCGAGACCCTTCGTGGTTGGGGACAGTGTGGCACTGTTCCACATCACTGTACCTCGGCTCTTGGGGTTTGTAGGAGCTGGGAGTCATTCCCAACTCGTAACTCTTCCTATCTTGTGTTCTAAGACTATAGTGGCTGCCATAGTACCGTTCGTTCAAACCGACGCTGTGTCGTCAATTCTTTATCAAATCGTGCAATCTAAATTGCTAATTGTAGACGACGTGAAGACGCTCCAGATCCAATTAGAATCAGGTCATTTGCAGCTGTGAGCAGAACGCTATCAACGTTTGAAGCCGCTGTGCAGAAATCCGTCTGTGCTCTCTATCTTTCGTTTTAGGCACATTCAAGCCTATTGTGACTATAACAGATGGAGCGATGAGAGGTTTCCTCGGAGGCTCTCTGGACAAAATTGCAATTTTCCTTTTTTATACATATATTTTAATATTATTTTCAGACATGCCTGGCGCTCGGGTTTAATGCGTTCTGACATGCCGATGAGTATGAACGTAGAGAGAGCAAAAGGACAGCCGTTCTTCTCTGAGAAACGTCTAACCCCCCAAGGTGCAAGTGGGGGCAAGGGGCCTGCCATTCAATGGTGGAACGCGTTGAGGTTACTAATTTCTTGCCGGCGAGAATAGCCCTAGCACATAACCTACAAAGGGGTTACCTCGAGGTTACTAGAAGTAACTTCAAGGATACTGGCAGGACCCTTGATTTTTGAGACGTAGTAATGGTGGAACGCTTGCTTTGAGGGGTGAGCATCCGCCAGGCAAGGGCTGCCTGCCCACTTAAAGTCCAACCCTCTCTAACCTTCAAGTTGAACTTTGCCTTCTCTATTCCCCCATCCCCCCCTCAACCTCCTATGCCTTCCCAGCGTGGGAGTGGCGTTCCCCGGAGTGGAGGTGCGTTTTGAGGGGGTGAGCGCGTCCGCCAAGGTGCAAGTGGGGGCGAGGGGCCTGCCAAGCCAATCACCTGTTACATTGCTCCCATTCTCTACCCATCCCCTCCCTTCCCTCGCAGCGTTGGCGTCTCTTTCCCCGGAGTGGAGGTGCGCTTTGAGTGGGTGAGCGCGTCCGCCAAGGTGCGAGTGGGGAAGAGGGGCCTGCCCACGCTGCCCAACCAGCTCTCGAATTCTGTCGGCGCGGTGCTGAGGGAACTGCGGCTACTCAAGGACCAGCGCCGCCTCTTCTTCGCTCTTGACGGCTGCTCTGGCATCCTCAAGCCTGGCAGGTACTAGGCCACCTGGTAGGTACGGCGTCTGTGAATCTGTAAGCAAAGCATCAAGAAGGGCCGGTGCTGAGGGAGCTGCGGCTACTCAACGACCGGGCCGCCGCCTGTTCTTTGCTCTTGACGGCTGCTCTGGCATCCTCAAGTCTGGCAGGTAAGGGGATTCCAAGCCTAGCTGGTGCTGCGAGAACGGCGGTTAGTATTCAAGGATTAACGCTGCCCGCTCTTTACTCTTGATGGCTGCTTTGGCATCGCCCGTAGTCCAAGATGCTGTACATGCCCGCGCCTAGTCAAACCCAGCTCCACCTAATCAAACCCATCCCCACAGGATGACGCTGCTGCTGGGGCCGCCAGGCAGTGGCAAGTCAACGCTGCTGAAGGTCCTCCTTGAGGTGCCCCAACTTGGTCAGCACCTGATCAGCACCTAATCCACCCCACCCCGCCCCACCGACTCGCTCAACCCACAGGATGACGCTGCTGCTGGGGCCGCCAGGCAGCAGCAAGTCAACGCTTCTGAGGATCCTGGCAGGGAAGGCGGAGAGGGAGCTGGGCGTGCAGGGCGAGGTGACGTACAACGGCCGCCCGGGCAGCCAGTTTGTGCTGCCGCGCTCCGTGGCGTTTGTGCCTCAGACGGACTCCCACATCGGCGAGATGACTGTCCGCGAGACCCTCGAGTTCTCCGCTCGCCTGCAGGGGCCCGGCCACCGGGCAGGTGAGGATTGAAGTTCGACACACAGGGAGATGACTGTCCGGGAGACCCTCGAGTTCTCCGCTCGCCTGCAGGGGCCCAGCCACCGGATAGGTAAACTCTCAGGGAGACGTTTGTGCCTCAGACAGTCACCCACATCGGTGAGATGACTGTGAGGAAGTCGCTCGAGTTCTCCGCTCGCCTGCAGGGGCCGTGACACAGGGCAGGTGGGGATTGGGGCATGAGGTCATGGGTGCTGTGACAGGAACAGTCAGGTCTGTTTCATGACGCCTCGAAAGGCGGACACCCATTTGATGAGATGACTGTCCGGGAAATGCTCGATTTCTCCGCTCGCCTGCAGGGGCCCGCCACTGGGCAGGTGGGTTCTCTGCTTGCTTGAATTGACTGCTGCCTGAGGTTTGAGGTTTGAGGTTTGAGAGGTCTCAGAACCCCCATGCCCTCCTTTTCTTCCACCCTCCCTCCCTCCCTCCCTCCCTCCCTCACTCACTCCCTCCCTCCCTCCCTCCCTGCCTCCCTCTCTTGCTTCCTCCGCCCCTCCCCCTTGCTCTCCTTCCCTCCTTCCCTGGTGGTACTATGCAGCTTAAATGCGCACTCCTCATTCTGATCTTAACCACACTGCCATCTGCTCCACACTCGGTCTGAATACCTAGTTAGGATGCTTCCTACAGATTCTGCTCCCTGAAAACCAATCGCTTCTTCTCCATTCCCTCCCTCCCCGCTCAGAGCTATTTCGGCAGCTGGAGGAGAAAGAGCGGGAGGCAGGAGTCCAGCCCGATGACGTCATGCAATCTGTTATGAAGGTAGTGATGGCGTCATGGCAGTGTTGATGCCACAATGACAGCTGTAATATGTATTTTCACAATGACATGGAAATGTCAGTTTGTGCCCTTGAAGCTTGATGTCAGTCCAATGTACGCTTGAGATTGAAACACCAATTGAAACACCACATGGCATCCACCCTGCCTAACAAATCTTTCCCTTTCCCACTCTCCCCTTTGGTGTTACTGCATGCTTCACAATTGTTGCTCTTTGCTGCAGGCGATGGCCGATGAGAGGCAGTGCTCGGATGTTGTGGTGCAGTATGTCCTCAAGGTGTGTGTGTGTGTGTGTGTGTGTGTGTGTGTGTGTGGGAGGAAGAATGAAGGAAGGGGGGGAGGAGTGGGTGTGCGCATGTGCATGAGTATGTGCGACATCATCAACGCTGTTTGCAGGCGATGGCCGATGAGAGGCAGTGCTCGGATGTTGTGGTGCAGTATGTCCTCAAGGTGTGTGTGTGTGTGTGTGTGTGCGGTGTGTGTGTGCACATATGTGTGCATGTGATGAAAGTGCATGTGTGTGAAATATGTGCGCATGTGGGTGTGTATGAGTGCATGAGTGAGAAATATGCGTGCATGTGATAGCACGTGTTTACATGTGTGTGAATGTGATTGCATGCATGTGCATATGTGTGCATTTGTGTGAACAAGCTTGCATGTGTATGCATATGTGTGTGTATGTGCGTGCATGTGTATGCATATGTGTGTGTATGTGCGTGCATGTGTATGCATATGTGTGTGTATGTGCGTGCATGTGTATGCATATGTGTGTGTATGTGCGTGCATGTGTATGCATATGTGTGTGTATGTGCGTGCATGTGTATACATATGTGTGTGTATGTGCGTGCATGTGTTTGCATATGTGTGTGTATGTGCGTGCATGTGTTTGCATATGTGTGTGTATGTGCGTGCATGTGTATGCATATGTGTGTGTATGTGCGTGCATGTGTTTGCATATGTGTGTGTATGTGCGTGCATGTGTATGCATATATGTGTGTATGTGCGTGCATGTGTTTGCATATGTGTGTATATGTGCGTGCATGTGTTTGCATATGTGTGTGTATGTGCGTACATGTGTTTGCATATGTGTGTGTATGTGCGTGCATGTGTATGCATATGTGTGTGTATGTGCATGCATGTGTATGCATATGTGTGTGTATGTGCGTGCATGTGTATGCATATGTGTGTGTATGTGCGTGCATGTGTTTGCATATGTGTGTGTATGTGCGTGCATGTGTATGCATATGTGTGTGTATGTGCGTGCATGTGTATACATATGTGTGTGTATGTGCGTGCATGTGTTTGCATATGTGTGTGTATGTGCGTGCATGTGTTTGCATATGTGTGTGTATGTGCGTGCATGTGTATGCATATGTGTGTGTATGTGCGTGCATGTGTTTGCATATGTGTGTGTATGTGCGTGCATGTGTATGCATATATGTGTGTATGTGCGTGCATGTGTTTGCATATGTGTGTATATGTGCGTGCATGTGTTTGCATATGTGTGTGTATGTGCGTGCATGTGTTTGCATATGTGTGTGTATGTGCGTGCATGTGTATGCATATGTATGTGTATGTGCATGCATGTGTATGCATATGTGTGTGTATGTGCGTGCATGTGTATGCATATGTGTGTGTATGTGCGTGCATGTGTTTGCATATGTGTGTGTATGTGCGTGCATGTGTTTGCATATGTGTGTGTATGTGCGTGCATGTGTATGCATATGTGTGTGTATGTGCGTGCATGTGTTTGCATATGTGTGTGTATGTGCGTGCATGTGTTTGCATATGTGTGTGTATGTGCGTGCATGTGTTTCCATATGTGTGTGTATGTGCGTGCATGTGTTTGCATATGTGTGTGTATGTGCGTGCATGTGTTTGCATATGTGTGTGTATGTGCGTGCATGTGTATGCATATGTGTGTGTATGTGCGTGCATGTGTATGCATATGTGTGTGTATGTGCGTGCATGTGTATGCATATGTGTGTGTATGTGCATGCATGTGTATGCATATGTGTGTGTATGTGCGTGCATGTGTATGCATATGTGTGTGTATGTGCGTGCATGTGTTTGCATATGTGTGTGTATGTGCGTGCATGTGTATGCATATGTGTGTGTATGTGCGTGCATGTGTATGCATATGTGTGTGTATGTGCGTGCATGTGTATGCATATGTGTGTGTATGTGCGTGCATGTGTATGCATATGTGTGTGTATGTGCGTGCATGTGTATGCATATGTGTGTGTATGTGCGTGCATGTGTTTGCATATATGTGTGTATGTGCGTGCATGTGTTTGCATATATGTGTGTATGTGCGTGCATGTGTTTGCATATATGTGTGTATGTGCGTGCATGTGTTTGCATATATGTGTGTATGTGCGTGCATGTGTTTGCATATATGTGTGTATGTGCGTGCATGTGTATGCATATGTGTGTGTATGTGCGTGCATGTGTATGCATATGTGTGTGTATGTGCGTGCATGTGTATGCATATGTGTGTGTATGTGCGTGCATGTGTATGCATATGTGTGTGTATGTGCGTGCATGTGTATGCATATGTGTGTGTATGTGCGTGCATGTGTATGCATATGTGTGTGTATGTGCGTGCATGTGTTTGCATATGTGTGTGTATGTGCGTGCATGTGTTTGCATATGTGTGTGTATGTGCGTGCATGTATATGCATATGTGTGTGTATGTGCGTGCATGTGTATGCATATGTGTGTGTATGTGCGTGCATGTGTATGCATATGTGTGTGTATGTGCGTGCATGTGTTTGCATATATGTGTGTATGTGCGTGCATGTGTTTGCATATATGTGTGTATGTGCGTGCATGTGTTTGCATATATGTGTGTATGTGCGTGCATGTGTATGCATATATGTGTGTATGTGCGTGCATGTGTATACAAATGTGTGTGTATGTGCGTGCATGTGTTTGCATATGTGTGTGTATGTGCGTGCATGTGTATGCATATGTGTGTGTATGTGCGTGCATGTGTATACATATGTGTGTGTATGTGCGTGCATGTGTTTGCATATGTGTGTGTATGTGCGTGCATGTGTTTGCATATGTGTGTGTATGTGCGTGCATGTGTATGCATATGTGTGTGTATGTGCGTGCATGTGTTTGCATATGTGTGTGTATGTGCGTGCATGTGTATGCATATATGTGTGTATGTGCGTGCATGTGTTTGCATATGTGTGTATATGTGCGTGCATGTGTTTGCATATGTGTGTGTATGTGCGTACATGTGTTTGCATATGTGTGTGTATGTGCGTGCATGTGTATGCATATGTGTGTGTATGTGCATGCATGTGTATGCATATGTGTGTGTATGTGCGTGCATGTGTATGCATATGTGTGTGTATGTGCGTGCATGTGTTTGCATATGTGTGTGTATGTGCGTGCATGTGTATGCATATGTGTGTGTATGTGCGTGCATGTGTTTGCATATGTGTGTGTATGTGCGTGCATGTGTTTGCATATGTGTGTGTATGTGCGTGCATGTGTATGCATATGTGTGTGTATGTGCGTGCATGTGTTTGCATATGTGTGTGTATGTGCGTGCATGTGTTTGCATATGTGTGTGTATGTGCGTGCATGTGTATACATATGTGTGTGTATGTGCGTGCATGTGTTTGCATATGTGTGTGTATGTGCGTGCATGTGTTTGCATATGTGTGTGTATGTGCGTGCATGTGTATGCATATGTGTGTGTATGTGCGTGCATGTGTTTGCATATGTGTGTGTATGTGCGTGCATGTGTATGCATATATGTGTGTATGTGCGTGCATGTGTTTGCATATGTGTGTATATGTGCGTGCATGTGTTTGCATATGTGTGTGTATGTGCGTGCATGTGTTTGCATATGTGTGTGTATGTGTGTACATGTGTTTGCATATGTGTGTGTATGTGCGTGCATGTGTTTGCATATGTGTGTGTATGTGCGTGCATGTGTTTGCATATGTGTGTGTATGTGCGTGCATGTGTATACATATGTGTGTGTATGTGCGTGCATGTGTTTGCATATGTGTGTGTATGTGCGTGCATGTGTTTGCATATGTGTGTGTATGTGCGTGCATGTGTATGCATATGTGTGTGTATGTGCGTGCATGTGTTTGCATATGTGTGTGTATGTGCGTGCATGTGTATGCATATATGTGTGTATGTGCGTGCATGTGTTTGCATATGTGTGTGTATGTGCGTGCATGTGTTTGCATATGTGTGTATATGTGCGTGCATGTGTTTGCATATGTGTGTGTATGTGCGTACATGTGTTTGCATATGTGTGTGTATGTGCGTGCATGTGTATGCATATGTGTGTGTATGTGCATGCATGTGTATGCATATGTGTGTGTATGTGCGTGCATGTGTATGCATATGTGTGTGTATGTGCGTGCATGTGTTTGCATATGTGTGTGTATGTGCGTGCATGTGTATGCATATGTGTGTGTATGTGCGTGCATGTGTATACATATGTGTGTGTATGTGCGTGCATGTGTTTGCATATGTGTGTGTATGTGCGTGCATGTGTTTGCATATGTGTGTGTATGTGCGTGCATGTGTATGCATATGTGTGTGTATGTGCGTGCATGTGTTTGCATATGTGTGTGTATGTGCGTGCATGTGTATGCATATATGTGTGTATGTGCGTGCATGTGTTTGCATATGTGTGTATATGTGCGTGCATGTGTTTGCATATGTGTGTGTATGTGCGTGCATGTGTTTGCATATGTGTGTGTATGTGCGTGCATGTGTATGCATATGTA